AAAGTTTATATTTAACAAGATACAATGAAAGATTTAAAGTTTAAATGACTCATCAGCGGACTAGGAGGTGCAGATGTATACTTAGCAAAACAAAAACTACTGAATGGAGAGATATTAGGAGAGTTAGTTAAGGATTTCCGATTGATCATTTATCAGAAGAAACTTGGATGCTGTACAAAAAGCTAGTTGATAAGGATGGTATCATTCTAAAACTGGAGATTTTGCCACACTAAAAACACTTACTAAAAAACCACAAACCAAATCTGATCAAAAAAGCATATGTATTACACTTTCATATATAAATAGCACTACCTGGTTTTTAAAACTACTTTATCGGTGTCATATAGATTATAGACTTTGGATTACAAAAACAGGACCATTTGGTGAACCAACACGTATTGCAAAAGACAGGGTTATTACTAAAATAAAAGAAAATACTGGACTGCTATTAGATATGTGTTGTAACTCTGGTGAGAAGGGAGGAACATCTACAACAGGATCACAAGGCCATAGATTTTTTTCTGAAGAACTAATTTCTAGCATAAAAGAGCTATGCTCTCTTATGTTCAAAGATAGCATGTTACTACTACATTCTCAAATCAGTATAATACTTTGTATTGTTTCTTGTCAGCGTAAAAATAAAATAGACAAATTTCAAAAGTTATGCAATAACACTACACTTAACATTATTACAAATATGTCATGGGTACAAATTAACCACAATCTTTATGGAGTCCTTCATCATTCAGCTGAGTTAATAGTTCTTAATGAAAGTTATGGCCTTAGCAATTTATCGGAGGAAGGTCTTGAAGCAAACAACAGCGATAAATAAAATAGAAACTATTTAAATTTCTCTCTGGTAAGACATCACATCTAGAGCAACTTACAGATGTAATGAGTCTTTTTTAGAGAGATCAGATCCTTGTGTTTTACATCGAATTATCCATTCACATCCTCCAAAGTTATGCCAAAATTATGGTTCAAACCAGCATACAAGCAGATCTCATAAGCGTATGTTTTCAAAACAGAAGATATATTCTGATGATATGTTTGAAAACCTTATTTATGATTAATTATAAAGTTATTAACATTTCTTGCTATTTTAACTTTTATCTTCAAATATATGTAGCAATATAAGTTCAAATCTCTTTCCTCATGATTTTATTATACTCACATTATTTTAAATCTAAATTTGACAATATACTTGTTTTTAAATACTAAACTTCTTATCAGTAGAATAGTAGAAACCAGACCCCCATATTATTTAAATGTTTGAATTTTCTTTTCTTTAAGTATATCTAATAAATTACTTTTTTGATTGTCATCTAAAAAAAAATTCTCTGAGTATTTATCAAAAAATACTTTTTAATTTTATCATAATAACTTTTAATTTTAACTTAATTTATCAAAAATGACCAAATATTTGAACCCAGTCCACAAATTTAGTTTATTATTAAAAATTTAAATTTTCCTATAACAAGCAAAAAAATATCTTTCTAAAAAGTCCTCAATGAGTTTTCTAGGATTTCTTAATCATTAGTTATGTTCCTATTTCCGAAACTTTGCCTTCTGGGCCCACTGTACCTCATGTTGCTTTTTTTATTTGAACAAAAACTTCATTTTTAATTATAAGCATTAATATTTTTTTATTTGAACAAATACTTCATTTTTAATTATAAGCTTCATTTTTAATTATAACTTCATTTTTAATTACAAAGATTTTTTACAAAAAGTTGCAATTAGCTTTTTTAACATTGTTTAAACTGTGTAAAAGTAAACAAATTTATGAAGCGTGAAAAAACTTTTTTTCACACTTTATAAACCTATTTCATAGAGAGTAAATAAATGGAGAAAACATGCTTTTAAAAAATGACTTTAAAATGCAAACAATGACTTATTCCTAGTCTACTACTTAAAACAACAGTTTTTAAATCATAAAACTAAACTTTATATGATTTGTGATTTGATTTGGTTTACAAATATGTAGATAAATTTATTTGAGATTCGATTCTATGTTTAAATTTCCGAATTGCAAGGACCTTCAATAAAATCAATATAGCAAGAACATATTCTTGTCAAAACTTATTCTTGTCAAAACATATTTACTTTACAAGTAATCAACAAATGGAACTCTCTCCCAGTGAAGATTGTAAATTTAAATTTTAAATGTAAACTTGATATTTACCTACAAAAAGAAATAAGCGTTTGTAATTGACGTTATTAATGAAATATTACATTGATAACATTTATGTATGACTGGTTGACAGCCATTCATGCTTATACAAATCTTTTTTTGTAAATTGATTATATTAAAAACACTGTGTAACAAAAAAAAAACTCCTAATCTTGGTTTATAAATATATATATATATAATTTTTATATTGAATTTAGATTTGTTGAAAAATGCTATTAAATTCTTCAAAGTTGGATTTGTAAAAGCTTTAGGTTCTTTAAGGATTTTTTAGGTGAATTTAATTTGAAAATCTGATTTAAATGCACTTATTTTCTAAGGAAAGTTTTTTTAACATGAGTTTGTTTGTATATCTTAATGTTGATCTTAATATTTGGATAATATTCATATCTGTTTTTTGTAGGACTATTACATTTTGGAGGTTGTTAAAATGTTGCTTTTAACATCCTTCCCATGTTAGAAAGTACTATTAATAAATTCTTGCATTTTATTGTACTATTAATATATTCTTGCATATATTTATTGCATATTCAATCAAAAATTGTTTAATCAAATAAAAATCAAATAAAACTCAATGTAATTAATTTTCAAAAAGTTGATATTAAAGAAGTATTAATTGTTGATATATGAGACGTGATAACATATCAGACCAACACAACGCTAAATTTAGTTAATAAACAAAACGGAAAATATCAAAAGTTTTCCCTTGCAGAGTATTTAATTAAAACAAATATTCATAAGCACTAAAGTGTAAAAATTTCCTATGTCAAAAAAAATATGCCTTTTTTTTTTTAGAATATTAATAATTTCATTTGTCAGAATTAATAATAACAATTAACTAAAATAATTAATATAATTTATATTATATATAATTAATAAATTAATATAATTTTTAATATAATTGTAAACATTATGAGGCTTTTTAAATACAACACTAACATAGTTTTTTTTAAGATTTAAAATTAATAGGCTTTCATTTGTGTTTTTTTCAGATACATGTTCTTAAATGTTTCATCCAGAAGTTTGCTAAAAACTTAATAATATATATTATTAAGTTTTTAGCAAACTTCTGGTAATAAATAAAACTTAGTTTTTAAAAAAATTTTGGTACCTTTTCGTGCGTTGTGCCTCATATATACTCTAAACAAACAGTAAGTTATGTTTTTGTTAAATGTTTAGTAGATGTGCTGCATTTCACCAAAAATTTTTTGGAAAGAATATGCTCTATTCAAGATCTACCATCAGCAGACCTTGAATAGAGCTATTCTTGATCTAGGGAAAGGATAAGCTCAATTCAAGGTTACAGACCTTGAATGAAGCTTTTTCTACAAGATAAAACTCTAGTCAAGATCTACCGTCTTAAGTAGAGCTCTATCTATAGCTTTCTTGCTTGATCTCCTGGGTGGATTTATTAAATTTAAATGTTTTCTGTGTCTTTAGGATAGTAGAACAATCTCAGACCACTAAAATATAAAGAATATAAAGTAGGAACTAGAAATGTGGGAACCTCTTTGTAATCTAAAAACTGTGCTCATGTCACCACTAAACATTAACTTGGGCTTGATAAAGCAGTTTGTGAAGGCTCTTGATCAGAAATCACTTGCTTTTTAGTAAAATTAACAAAAAAAACAACCTTACAATGTCAGAATAATATTTACACATCTACACCTCCTATGTTAAAAAACATCTTATGCAACAATAAGTCAAAATTAATTACCAATATCAATCCCGGTGTCAAAAAAACTATTTAAAAGATAAGTGGGGTGCATCTGGGGCAACCAAACATGGTAGAGATTGTAACAGTATGTTTGATTGGTCACATCCGAAAACTCTAGCAATAGAATCAGAGTATTATGAACATAAAGTTAGAAAATCACTTGAAATTACCTACGCCTCAATATACCTGGAAATAAAACATGTTCCTATACTTCTCAACCATGACAATTGCAACCGTGACCATTTTTTTCATCTTTTTTAATATTTTTTTTACATTTTAATATAAAATTTAAGTAAAGTAAAATATAAAAATTTAATAAATAAAATCTTTTTATATTAAAAAAAAAAAGATTAATAATGTAATGAAATATAAATATCAGTTTAACATTGTAAAAGTGTATTTAATTTATATTTTTAATATATATATTGTAAAATTTATTTAAATCTCCAAACGAGCTTTATATTCAAATCTTTACTCCAATCATTTTTTCAGCTTATACACTATTCTATTAATATGATAGTGCATAACAGTCTTTTCTATAAAGAAAGACAAAAAAAAAATATGCAAAAGTACAAAGAAAAAAAAAACGAAATAGTTATATTAAGTTGAAAGTCTGTAAATTAAATTATTTTACTCTTGCTCTCACTGATAACAAAAATTTATCAAAATAAAAAGGATTTTTTTAAATCAATGTCTCCAAAAGTTTAAATTATTATAACACGATGTTAAAATTATAATCATCATATTTTGTTAATAGTTTTTCCTAGATTTGTAGTAAGTTGTTTAATTTTTATTTTGTGTTTTAAATATTATTCTTAATTTAATTATTTTTTATTTTAAATCTATGGATGCAAATTTTTTTTAAGACGTAATACATTTTATTTATATTTAATTTGTTGTTTAAATAATAACATCCGTAAATAATTTTTTTTTTATTATTTTCAAAATTTATTTTATTCAATTTTTTTTGTATAACTTCATTTTGAATATGTTTTTTTCTCTATGTAAAATGACTATACTTTATTCAGGCATAAAAAATTATTAGAAAATTAAGTGTCATTTTATATTTTTGATGGTTTTTTTATTTTTTAGTCCACTTAAAAATCATCGTGTGATGTTGCATAGAAATTTGATAGTCTCCATCATGTTGAGAGATATTGCGTATATCGTTTACACTCATCTAAACACTAAAACAAACCCTTATGAAATACCTAATATGGTAAGTCATAATCTTATGATGATGTTACTATGTTATTATATATTTTTTATTATTTTTTCAAACTATTAAATTTTAGATATAGAAGACTTTTTTTGAAAATTGATGATTGTACCTTGCCTCCACTTCCAAACCCGTGTCACTGGCTGCTTGCTATGTCTTTGTTTATATTTATGTTTTATTTTGTTAAAAATGTCTTTGTTTATATTTATAAGTTTAATTTTTTACAAAATTAAACTTATAAATATAAACAAAGACACTGCAAGCAGCGCCCGCGACACAGTTTTAGAAGTGGAGGCAAGGTACAATCATCAATTTTTAAAAAAAGTCTTCTATATCTAAAATTTTTTTAAAAAAATTAAAAAAAATAAAAATAAAAGGTTATTTTGAAAAAAAGTGGGGGGCATGTGCCTCCCCGCCTTTCCTGGTCTTTTTGGCTCTGGCAAAAGCTATATTGCATCAAGCATAAGTTCAAGCAAAAAAACTAATAATAGAACTCTATAATCCATTAAAGCAATTGTTTTTTTTTTAAATTAAAATAATAAATTCTTTAAAAGATGTCTTTTAAAGTTTGTTATAGTTAATGTTTTTTCATATTTTTTTGGTAAAATTAAAAACATTTTGTTATAAAACCATTTAAACAAAACAAAACAAAAAATTTAAATTATCAAAAGTGGCGTTAATATGAAATAATATGAATTATCAAAAGTGGCGTTAATATGAAATAATATGAATTATCAAAAGTGGCGTTAATATGAAATAATATGAATTATCAAAAGTGGCGTTAATATGAAATAAAATTTAACGTGTGCTATTTTTTACCTAAAGATTTTTTCTTTTTTTAATTGGGTAATTAATTTTTTATTGTTTGTCATGAGCAATTACCTAAATAAATATGCTTGCAAGATGATAAATAAAAATTTTATTTAGTTTATTTTGTGATTTCTTTTTTACGCACCTTTAACATCTTTTTTCTTCACATTTTTGATCATATATATATATATATATATATATATATATATATATATATATATATATATATATATATATATATATATATATACACACAAACACAGTACAAAGGATGTGACTTATACAGACAGATACAAATAAACGATGTGACTTTGCTGAATGATGAGTCAAGCGCGAATGAGTTTTGGTTAATCAAACTAGAGATTTTAGCTCTTTTGAGCAACAACCATAATATTTATTTGAGGAAAAGAGAAAGAGATGCAACTTCACAATAATGGGAGAGAGGCTCAAGCTTGGCAGATAAAGCCGGTCCAACTACATTTAAAATGCGTTTTTGAACCTTGTCTAAAAGAGAAAGATGATGCACTTTCTCTTTTAGAACCAGTTTGAATATGACAACAGGAATACTGACTACAGAGAGGAGTAAAAGAGATTTAGAGAATGAAATCATGATTAAGATGATGGCAAGCATAATAAAGAGAAGCAACTTTTGCTAACTTCACAAATGATTGTATATATGTTAACTTCGCAATCAATTGTATATAGAAGACTCAGTGAGAGGGTTGACATTTATTAATATAGGAATGTTGACAGTATAGTGATAGTTGTGATAGTTTACAAAGTACAGCAGCTTAAAGCAACTGTTAAACAGTGGTCAAAGTTCATGCTCAGAACTAAGAGGTCCTAGGTACAATGCCTGCTCTGGCATGATAAGCGAGATAGGTAATAAGGGAGGTGTGAACTTTTTTGTTAAATGCTTTTCTACTGTGCTCTGTTATGACTGTATAGACTTCATGGGTCACCTAGAATACTAAATCATAATTTATTATACTCTCCCCAATCATAATTTCTCCCTATAATACTCTCTCCAATCATAATCCCCTAATCATAATTTATTATACTCTCATTGAAAATGATTTTTAAAGTCTAATATATCTTGGTTAAAAGGCTTGCCTTTCTCCTCTGAGTAAGCGACAACAATCCAATTATTAATTTATTTAACCCTTCCAAAAATGAAATTAGCAGAGTTAGTAAAGTTATGCTTTATTAACTTGTGAACATACTTGATCTCCATCAGTGGAAAAAAACACAAGATACCATAAATAAGTTTACTATAATAATTTTATCAGTGATACATGTTTTTATAAATTTCTTTTTTTTGATATTGTTGATTTCTACAATTCAATAAGTGATAAACTCTTTAACAGTACTATTAGTTTTTGAGCAACATCAAAGTATTGGCCCTAACCACAAATCATTAATCTATCATGCAAGCAAGTCATTAGTATTTAACAATGATCAAGTTTGGATTAAGAAATAAACAGATTAGTTGATGTTTCAATGGGAGCATTTGACAGTGCAGAAATATGCAAACTTGTATGAATTAACCTTTTGTTTCAAATTAAAAAATTTTGTAATAAAAATAATTTTAGATTATACTGTGATGATGGTTTAGCAACTTTTAAAAGTATCAGTAAGCCTCAGATGGAAAAAATCAAATTTTGTTGATACTTTTTATAGAAACGATTTTATTATATCAACACAATGCAACATAAAAGTTGTAAATTACCTTGGGCTTTACATTAAATCTCAATGACCACACTTTCCAATCATGTTTTAAGTCTGAAAATTCTTTAACTATATTCATGCCAATTCAAATCACTTGCCAAATATTTTACAACAATTTTCTCATTCAATTGAATTAATATTTTAAGTCTGCAAATTTGTTGAGTGAACGAATTTTTCAAAGATCTTCTCCTATATATAATGACTCATTGTTGAATTTGGCTTTGATTACAGAATTTCATATTGTTCTATTTTAAATTTACCTTACATCAAGAACTGCAACATTACTTGGTTCAACCCTCCTTTAAACAAAAATGTTAGCACTAATGTAGTAAAAAACTTTTTAACCTTAATTTATAAACACTTCCTTATAAATCAGAAATTTTATAAAATTTTGAACAGAAATATAATAAAAGTAAGTTACAGATGTATGCTGAGTATGGAAGCTATTTTAAATGCACACACTTTTATCAATAAATATACTTCTGTATATTGAAAGCTCCATTTAAAATTAAGTATCAATCATATAAAATCATTTAATATTCTTAAGTACAAAAATGACACTGAAATATCAAAAGAAATATAGAAACTATAAGATGCAAATTTAAACTCAGTTGTTAAATTGAAAAATAATTAAACTGTGCAACTTCAACTGTGCTTATAACCTTACTATGAAATTCTGTAAGTTACACATAAATGAAAAGTATGGAATTCTATTCAAAATCCAAATTCATTAAATAAAAAAAGTGAAAAAATATTTAAATGCAGAAACAAATTTATTCTTGTCCGATTTGACATTGATGAATAAATAATTTTCTACTTCAATTTGTTATATTTTGATGTCAAAACATTTTCAATGGCTTCATCTTTGTTTTTCTGTATATTGTATTTTTTAATGTTTTTTTTTTTTATATATATTAAGGTTTTTGATGTTTTTTTAATTATATATATATATATATATATATATATATATATATATATATATATATATATATATATATATATATATATATATATATATATATATATATATATAAATGTCAATCTAGTATTCAAATGAAGCAAAATTATTAAAAAATTTCAAAAATAATATTCATTTCAAAAAATATTTTACTTATTTATCAAAATTATCATAAAAAAACATAAAAATTTAGCATTTTAAAAATGCATTTTTTTCTTTTTTTTCTTAAAAAACACAATTTTTTATGTAATAAATTGCTGCTGATACAACATTTTTCTTTTTTCTTTTTTTTTTTTGAAAACTTTAGAAGTTGAACTAAGATGCCTAGCCTAAATATTTTTCTTATTTATTGATATTTTTTGATTTCAACCCATTAATGTTAGGATAGTTAATAATATTCTAATCCTATCAAAAAAACTTTAACTTTTTGTGGGGATCAAACTCAGAATCTCTCACTTACGAAGCCACCACTCTACCACTACCACATTATTAAACCAAGAATAACAAGATAGTTAATTCTGTAATTAATCTGCCTTTTTGAGTTGCTATTTATTTAAAGGATATTTGAACAAATATTAGTTCAACTTCTAAAGTTGAACATTGTTCCACCTACTAAATTTTTCCATCCTTCTTTTGTGGTATCGTCTGGGGTACTACAAGGTTCTATCTTCGGTCTATTTCTATCTTTACTCCTATATTGTTTGTTATCTTGATTAGTGCTTCTATTTGCTGATAAAGTTCAATATTTTTTTCGAAGTATAGTCTTGACTTTAGATTGAAAAACTTAATTTCTAACCTATGACTCATTTGAAAAAAAGTCATTACTTTTTGATTGGTTAGAGCAGGCAGTTGATCTTGAATCTGATCTCTTTTCTGTAACAGCTTGGAGATCACAGTGGTTTGTGAATTTTAACTCTAACAAAAATATATTATTTATTGCTAATATTTATTGCAATATTGCTGCAAATCCTATATAAATAAATAATATTAGTTTTATAGATGAATAACAACAATCTTACTGAGTCCTCATCTGGTGAGGTTTCATCTCTTTCTATGTGCTTCATATGTAACTCCTTGGATTCAAGCTGGGATGGAATTTTTTATTTCCTCTTGACAATTCCAAGACAAGTCTGTCTCTTTTCCATGTTTTTTCTCTTATTGTGCGGTTACTATTACCAATGGAACCCATTTCTTCCATATCTATTATATAGCAAAACAATTCTCCAGAAAACAGGCATATGTTTACTATTGCTAGAAATCATTGTGAAAAGGTTTTGTCTAATGCCAAAGCCCACTTTCATTCTCAGGTCATAAAATCTCGTATTTCATCTCAAAAATTAGGCTTTCATGACTTCTGGAGAATCTTTCACAGTATCAATAATAAGGTCAAATCTTTTATTCCACCTCTCTTGTATAGTTCAGATTTTGTTACCTCACCTAAAGACAAAGCTGAATTGTTGATTCCACTAGTTGTGTTCTATATGATATAACCAACAGGTTGATCCATTGCTTTATGTTTGTATCTCTCCAGCTTTTGTATATTATGAGTGATTTCCTGCTAAGACTCTTCTAGAGCTTATGGTTTGGACAACATACCTGTTATAATCTTGCAAAAGTGTTCTTCGTCTATACTTTAAAAACTATTTAACAAGTGCTTGTCAGAGTCTTGTTTTCCAGCCTGCTGGAAAGCAGCATCTATTATCCCTATTTTCAAATATTCTGGAGAGCTATCTAACTTGTTTAACTACTGTCCCATTAGTCTTCTTCCTATCATAAACAAGGTTTTTGAATCTTTAATTAACAAACACTTAATCTCTCATCAATCATCTCATCTCTCTTATTTTGAATCTAATAATTTACTTTTTGATCATCAATATAGATTTTGGTCTTCTCATTCTACAGCTGATTTGGTGACAGTAATAACCGATAGGTTTTATCGTGCATTAGAAAGAGATGTAGAGGTTGAGGCTATTGCTCTTGACATTTCTAAACCTTTTGATAAAGTTTGACATGCTGTTCTTCTCCATAGGTTTACTTTTAACATGTAAGAAGTCGGTATGGTAACATCTTTAAGATTATTGAATTATTCCTTACCAATTGTAGTAAAAAAGTTGTCGATGACAACACTCTTCATATCCTGTAACCTCTGGGATTCCTTAAGGTTCTACCCTTGGCCCTATACTCTTTTCAATTTACATTAACAATCTTCCAGATAATCTTACATCTAAGGTGGTATTATTTGCTGATGATACTACCATTTATTCTTGTCTTGACAAGAAGCCAACATTCTTTCATTGCTTGAAGGGGGTATTTGAGCTTGAAAAGGATCTCACTTCTGCTGCAGCATGGGACTCATAGTGGCTAGTGATCTTTTATTCAGATAGAACCCAATTTTTTTCAGCCAATCGTTATCGCAACAACGTAGATCTTCCTATATTTAAGAATGGTAATGTACTCAACGAGTCATCTACCTTCATCTCTATAAATCTCAATTTCTTTTGTATGGAATACTGTTGCCATATCTGGGGTTTATCTTCCAATTATGCCTTTTCTCTTTAGGGCAAGGTGCAAAAATGGTTTATAAACATAGTTGGACTTGTTCTTGCAGTCATCCTCCAACCATTATCACATGGTTGTAAAAAATGGTTTCAATATTATTATAAGGATAAAAAAAGACAACTAACATTATTTATGTCAACTTAAATGAACAACATTTTTTGTATTTTATGCAACATTTATGTCAACCTAACTCTCTGGGTTTTACTCCTTAAGTTTAATGGTTTTTATTTAAGTTTTTCAAGGTATTTTGTTTAAAAATAAAGTACTTTTAAAACAATTTTTATATAAAATAAACTCAGCAAAAGGTTTTAATTTTTTACATTTTTTAAATTATCTACATCATTTATGTTTTTGAATCAATGCATTTATTTGCGTCAATTTAAAAAAAGTTTTTTAAATCGCATAAATGTATAAAATTGTTTTTATTTTATTTTACAGTTTTTAAAAACATACTTAAATTTGTTAAAGCAGTTTTAATTCTTTGTGATTTTTTATTATTATCAACAGTTTTTAACCTTTACAATTAAATTTAATAAAAACAAAATTATTATTCTCTTGTATTGATGATGGAAAAAATATTTGAACAAGATAAATTTAAGTGTGTAATGAGTTTATTTGAAGTGTTTACTTGGTTTCATTATTTTAAAGCATTTTTTTTTCTACAATATAAAATGTTTATTATTTAAACTTTTTTTTTTTTAGAAGGGCTGCAGTTATGCATATTTGTTCTCACTTTATTTTGTTCTTGTGGAAATTACATGGATGTTTAATGAAGCTTTTTTTCAGTTTCGACAATTTTTTTTTGTTTTTATCACAAAATCCTACATGTGGCTCTACTTTATTGTTGGCTGGTGTAAGTTTCTATCATATAACATATGTATGTTTAAATATCAGCCCTGGAAATTAGGGTCAGCATTCGGCAATGTGGGTCTAACTGCCAATCTTGTTTGTAACTCAATCAAATAATCTTGCTTGTAACTCAAGCAAATGTAATAAAAGTGTTTGAGGTCGGCAAAAAAATTGCCAACCTCATTTCTACGTTTTATGGTAACTCCTTTGTGTCAAATTCTTTTTGCTCACCTGATGCTGACCTCAATATTATTGCTGACCAAAATGATTTTTTCTAATTCCAAGGGTTGATATATATATATATATATATATATATATATATATATATATATATATATATATATATATATATATATATATATATATATATATATATATATATATATATATATATATATATATATATATATATGTATATATATCATATTTAACTAGTCTGGAAATGTGGGCTGTTTTCTATGGACTTCGTAAAATAACTTGAACATTTCAAGATGACCGGTTTAAGAGTGCATGAAATAATTTTAAAATGACTTTTTCTGCTGTAGTTTCTCATAATTTAGATGAGTTTGATGCTGTTTTGACTGCTTTTGAAGAAGATTTGTTGGAGACATCCTAATTTTAGTTTGACTGTTGAGTTAGCTGTTGGAAAGATTCCTAAGGCAAATAAAAGAACATGTATTTTTGTGTTTATATTGCAAAAAAATCACAAAGTGGTTTGAATCGTCACCTCAATGCCAAGCACAAGGCTTATTGATAAACAGTTGAGAATAAAAGAAAGTAGACCTTATTCTTCATTCTAACTGCTTTCAAAGTTATTTGATTCAAAGTGCAAAAAATCTTGCCATAGATGAATACCCTACTTAAATAAGAACTAAATTTAAAAATTTTAAATAGATTTGTATAGTGGATGTCAATACCACTTATTCTTTAATAAAAAGCATAATTGAAAATTTCAGCATTTCCATAAAAATCATTTTATGGAAATGCTGAAACTTTTTACCCATCTTTTTACAAAATATTTTCTGAAGCACCGAGTCCTTTTTTTAGTCATAACTGCACTCTCCTTTTAAGTTTTAAAGTTGCTAATCTTGTCTTAGCTCATCTGACTGAGGCCTCCTTTAATAATGATGTTTTAAAATTTAAACATGAATCTTACTAGTTTATTGAAAAAGAAAAATCTATTATTGCTTATCCTATGTTTTATTGTAGGATGAGATTTAGTTCTAACATGTCTAGTTTGCATCATAAACAGTGTTTATCATTTTTGCTTGCTGGTAAATGTACAAGAGAAAGAATTTCTTGACCAAAGCATAAACATGTTAATTTGCATAGTAGGGGTGGTTTATGGAAGTAAAAAGGTTATTTGTATCTTTACTACTGCAGATTACCATTTTATTTCTGTTACAAAAAAGTCATAAATCTCATACTATCAATTGCAAAGATTTAGTTGATACATTAATTAAAGACTCTTTTGTGCTTGTTAACTTTGAAATTATACATAGTTCAACTGATAAAATTGAAAAAGAAACAGCATAATTTATTAGAAGATTTATTAACTCTGTATATATGTGTTTGTATATTTTCCTATGTGAAAGGAAAATGTACAAACACATCTTTTAAAAATATTAATGGCATAATTACTAACTACTCCTAAAGTAGTAAAATGAATACTTAATGACTTTTATTATTTATAGTATACTTATATATATAAGTATACTTATATACTTTTATTAAACTTTAATATATACAATATCAATAATAAAATTAGTATAATTGTTTTTTTAATTTTAAATCAACAGTAATGTATCTAATATTTTGTAGTATTACCATTTTTTTAAATTTGATTTAGACAAATCTTTAAAATTGATTAAATTATGGCCAATATATTGATACAAAAAAATATTTAAAAAATAGTTTACTTCCTTTTTAGTTTTAAGATCAAACAAAGAGATTAAGTCGAAATCTATATATGTTAATTTTTAAGTAAAAAATATTAATAATTGAACTCATTTAAAAATATTATGTTTAATACAGTTTTCACTTGGTTTTAATTATTTATTTTTTTTAGAACATGATTCATTACTATCTCCTTATAGCTAATTTCATTTCCAGCTACAGGAAGAAATACTTTCTGGTTTCTTATTGTGTTATAATTGTAACCAAATTCATTAAGTGATAGATTATCTTTCTGTGCTCCAAGTGAGCGTTGGCACTCAAAATTATTCAATAAACCCAAAAATCTTCAATTTTGAAATTTTTATAATATCTCCAGTATGTTCTTTAATAGATTTTAACCGATCTTTAAAATATTGCAAAAAAACACTTTGTAACCAAAAAAAACCTATCATCATTTATTGATGTGAATAGAGCTAGGTTTGGTTTTAGATCAAATTTATGATTATCTAAACTTCTGATATTCATTGTATCAAAGAAGCTATGGATTAAGGTATAAAACTTCAGCTTCAGGTGGTCCATAATGTAATAAAATTTTGGATATAGTAGAACTTAGCACTTGAGCAGCAAGTTCAACATTCATTATTGAATATGGTGTCAATTTTATATTTTCAAATGTGAGTTTAGGCAAAATGTGTAAGCCACATTCTCTGTCTTCATAAAATATATAAGCAATATGATTCCACAGTATGAACACACCACCATTCCACATATATCTTGTTCCTTCTGCATTTTTCGAGTTAGATAAACAGTTACAAACTGTCTTAAAAATTCAACATGCGGTTACTCTATTTGTTGCAAAGTTAGCTGGACTAAATTTAAAAGAACAACTCTATGAACTAGACTAAATTTAAAAGGACAATTCTATGTACAAATAAGAAAATACAATAAGAACTACTAAAACATGGGTAGCAAAATCATTTACTTTTGGCAAAGTTATTATGTTAACATCAGCATCACCAAGATCAACATAACCCACGATCTTCCCAGCTAATGAAAGACAGTATTGAGTTATTATAGGATGATATCTTAAATTAGTTAGGGACAACCTCAAATATTTTTGCTGCTTCTCCCAAAATAGCTTCATAAAAGGTGAGATTTTTTTAGTAAATTCTTCCATTGGTTTGTATAATTTCTGGATTGAGTTTGGTTGAGTATTTAAATTGGATTTCTTATTAACTATAATTTCTGCAGATTTACAAGATGTTGTGCTTCAAATAAAATTATCAATTCAAATAGTTTATTTGCAATTATACAACAGTGTAAACAAAAAATTATATTCAAGCTTTTGAGTTATAATAAAAAATAGGGTTGGTAAATTATATATATATATATATATATATATATATATATATATATATATATATATATATATATATATATATATATATATATATATATATATATATATATATATATATATATATATATATATATATGCATATATATATATATATATATATATATATATATATATATATATATATATATATATATATATATATATATATATATATATATATATATATATATATAATCAATCAATCATTAATTTCTGAATTAAGGTTTTACATTCAAGGATGTTTACAATTAGTAAATATACTAATATAAAGTAAACACCTACTAATGTTAATAGTATCTAATTAAAATAAATATAATAACAACAATATTAGTATTAGTAATAATAAAAGTTAAAAGTAGTTATCAATAGTAAATATTATTAAAAATAACAAAGTAACAATAATCAATAAAAAATATAGAATAGAAATTGTAAATATATATATATATATATATATATATATATATATATATATATATATATATATATATATATATATATATATATATATATATATATATATATATATATATATTAAGACAACAAAAATTGATTATAGAAATTATAAACATTAACTATATTTTTTTAATAAAAAGTAGAATAAACAGGTTTTAAAGGTTGAGAATGAATTCAGAGCTTTTAGTTCATAAGGAAGGTGGTTCCAAGTTTTAGTGTTTTGATATTTTATCGATTTATGCCCGTAAATATGAGAGCGGTGTTTAGAGACAGACAGGTTTAAATTAATATCGGAACTAAGGTGATAAAGATTATTGGCATTTTCGGAAAAGAAATTAATGAAAGTTAAAGGTAGGTTATTGTGTTGGTGGTTCTAGACAAATTGACAGTTTAAAAGTTGAATATAGTCACATAGTTTTAATACTTTAGAAGTTAGGTAGAGTAAATTAATATTCTGAAAATGAATTATTTTTAAAGCCTTGTTTTGGAGGTGGGATAACCTAATAAGAGCTTGTTGATGGGACTGCCCCCATACTTGGCATGCATATCTAAGATGTGAGCCTAAAATAGCATGGTATATGTACAAAAGTGTCTCAAAACTAACCTAATGGCGAATTTTGGCTAACATACCATTAGATCTACTTAGTTTCATTGCTAAGTCATTACAGTGAGATAAAAAGATTTGAATCGATTTTTATACCAAGATATTTAATTGAGTTAACAGGTTTAATTTTTTGCCACTTAATCTAAAGTTCATATGTTTATAGATTTTTGTTTTACTTGATTTAAAGATAATGAGTTCAGTTTTATTAGAGTTTAGAAAAAGTTTGTTGGAGGGAAGCCACTAAACTAGATTGGCAAGATCATGGTTAATGTGTTTGTTAATTTTCTTAAGGGATTTATTAATTAGTATTAGATTAGTATCATCAGCAAAGTGATAAACAGTAGCAAACTTAATGAATGTATGAAGATCATTAATATAAAGAAGAAAAAGCAGTCCTAATACTGAACCCTGAGGAACACCATTAGAACATTTTACAAGGTTAGATTTTGAGTCATTAATAGAAACAAATTGTGTTCTATTGTTTAAATATGTAGTGAACGATTTAAGTGGTACGCCTCCGATCCCATAATATTCTAATTTTTTCAACAAAATTGAATGATCCACTGTGTCAAACGCTTTATGTAAATCGACAAATACACCACATGCAAAACATTTATCATCAAGTGCTTTTCTAATTAGTTCAGTCATTTCA